GACCATCTGAGAGAACCAACCCCCCGTGGAGGCCAGGGAGAGGCACTCAGGTGGGGGTGCAGTCCAGGCCAGGGGGAAAGGCAGCAGAGAAGTCTCCTCCGTGCTCAGATAGGACCCTCTGTAAAGAACCAGCCCCTCCCTTCTACCCCAGTGCCTGCTTTGCTGGGCTCATGGGAGTTGCCACTGCTGCCCCAGGGGCTGGAGGCATTTATAGGCCGCACTCCTCCAAGGGCTCATGGGAGTTGTAGTTCTTACCCTTTGGGGTTGATGGGACCTGTAGTTTCTCCCCAGGAGACCCGTGCTTTTTAGACCTAGAAAGGGGGAGACCTCCCCCCACGAATCCCTACCCACCAGCTCCCCTGGGCCCGAGATCGCCAAGTGCATCCCTCCCAGACGGCTGTGTATGTATTTTCTTTTCTTTTTTTCCTTTCTTCTTCTTTCCGTTGTTTTGTTATTGTTTTAACTCTAATAAGTGGGCCAGAGGCAAGTCAAGCCCTGGCTGGGTCCTGGTGGCCCACGGGGGTTCTGGGGAGGGGGGGAGGGGGGGAAGCCAGTGGGGGTCAAAGGTGTGGGTGAAGAAAGTTGGGGAGTTAGTGTTATCTAAGGAACTGGCGTGCCCCTGCCTCAGCTCTCATTTGCTGCCCCTGCATTCTCTGCATCCCTGTGCTCTAGCCCTCCCCACTTGTCCCTCCATGGCTTCTCACATGGCCCCAGGGTCCTGTGGGACAGGCCTGTCCCTCCTCCCTGCCACTCTGCCTTGTGGGCCTGCACACTTTCGGTTCCACCCCCCTCATCTGGCCAAACTGAACTTTTCCCACTGGCTGCCCCCTCCCAAGTCCGCCCCACCCATCACAGCAGCTCCACATGCACACACCTATCTCTCCTAATCACCCTCCTTCCCGCTGCCCCGCCCCTCCCCTGCACGCTGACACCAAGTGGCGGTTGCCAGTGGGGTGAGCAGGTTCAGCTTTGCGTAGACTGACGGGGAGAGGGCACCCTCGAGGGAGGAGAGTACTCCGGTGGAAGGAAGCCAGGTGTCCAGGGTGAGAAGAGCGAGCGAGGGAGGGAGATGCTGGACAGATAGACAGAAATCGTGGTACGGAAAAGTTGTTTCTTTTCTTATTTTTTTTCCTGGGAGAACCCGCTTACACAGCTCTGTTTGTAATTTTTTTCTTCATGCTAAAATCACACGGCCTATTTGTTGATGTAAGTTGCCTGAATTCCGTGGTATGCTATCTTCTTTTTTAACAAGCAAAAAAAAGAAAAATCTAGAAAAAAAAAAAACACCTTAAAAGCTATTGTTGTTAGGTTTGTTTAAATGCTGCTGTTGTATCTGTTTGTTTTTTTTTAAGCCTTAAAATGAGTAGTTCTTTGGTTTCTTCTTTTCCTTTCCGTTTCTTTTCGATTTCCGTTCCTCTTTTCGTTTCTTAAGACAAAACCGAAAAGAAAAAAAAAAA